CTAAATCCTTGAGAGCAACTTTTGTGGATTTTGCTCTTATAAGTCCATTAACGTCACATTTACTTTAATTACGTAATATTTGGAGGAGATCTCTCACTTTTTTGCAATGATTGAATCATTGAATTACCTCAGCCTTATTTTGTTAAGTCATAGCCATCCCTGATGCCCGATCCCATATTTTCATGAGTTAGACTGGTTTTGTTGATATGACATGGATTTTGACTGTATTGACTCCATATCTTTCATGGTTGGGTTTATTCTTACCAATAATGTTGGGTTTATTCTTACCAATAATGTTCTCAAGATAGTATTTTGTGTCATCCGTGTTGAGTCGCTAGCTTTTAATTTATTTTCTTACCATGTGTCTGCTGCCTTTCCTGATTCACCACATGTCTAGTTCTTCTCTAAATTCTCTCTCTCCCTACACAAATTACAATTATATTCTTAGCTAAGGTTCTCACTCATTGGCAGAATACACTAACATGCTACACTTCATATTTATGTACATTTTATTTAGTTTTGATATTCAAAAGTACAATCTATTTCAATTGAACATAAAATGAAATATTTATATAAGATAATTTCAGCACGGGCATGTTGTAAATTTTACATAGATAATCACATAAATATGTCTTTCCTTTTTGTTAGAGATATATGTCATATTCTTACTTATATGCATCAGTCAATTAAAATTGACCTGAACCTCTATAACTTTTTGAGTCTAATACATATAATTAAAAAATGTGAAATTCGCTAACTTAAAGGAGTAGCTCTTGACATATTTTAAGTGATTAATTCATCAATTTAATGAATGTTTGAATATACGCTCAAAAGCTTTTTCAATTTACATAATAAATACACTATCATATTAGTTATAATTTGGTTAATACGGTAACTTTGACAATTACATGCAAATTAACGTGTCGCCAACGACTGATTTTTTTAAAAATATTTTTTCTTCCTGCTACATCTTTTAAAATATTAGTAGTATAAAATTTAAATTGAACAATTAAAAATGAAACAGAAACGCCGTTATATCAATCGAGACAAAGAAAAGGGGAACTCCGGCGATTAGTTTTGAAAGTAAAATGGAAATTGAAGGAACTGATGGGTCCAAAACCCTGCTGAAACTGGGTTCAATCCGAGAGTTCGGTAGAGGGTTGGGGTTCACCGACGACGACCGAACCGTTTCTCGCCGGCAAATCTCGTTCCAAATCCGTAACTCTCCAGACCAGGAAGATGAAACTAAGGTTAATTTTGAAGTTGTTGGAAGGAACCCTATTTGGGTATACAGCAATCGGGACGGTGAAGTTCGAACTTTTAGGAAGTCTGAAAGAGGCGAAATGGAGAATGGTGACATGTTCTGTGTTTCGGCTCACAAATCCATCTGGTTCACCTTGAAAAGAATCGATAAGAGGGATGCCAAGAAAGAGTTGGAAATGGAGACCCAGTTGGCTGAAAGCCTTCAGAGTAGTTTATGCCCTGTAGGGATTGAATTAGACCTCGAGAATGTTGATATTTCGGGGATTGACCCTGTTCAAGGTTTGATTTTTCCCCCTATTTGTTTCTTTGCATCTGCTATTCCGATGCTCAATTGATTTTCCAGTTGCTTCACTTTTACGGTGAATTGAAAATGTTCAATCAATTCAATTAAGTAGTATCAATCCCAAACTAGCTGACTTTGTTATATGAATCATCTGCCTCCATTTGGTCTTTTAATTTAGTCAGAGGATTCAATGTAATTTGATTGTCTGACATTTCAATTTTTAGCGCTTTCGTAATGTTTGGCCATAGATTTTGTAGCTTAAACTTGAAAATTTGAGTTGTTGAAGTTGTGATTTCTGGAACTTAAAAGTTGTGTTTGACATGCATTTTACTTGGAAGATTTTTGAAGTATTGTGCGTAAAAGTGAAATTTCTCGCAAAAACCGCCCTGGCTCATACCACTTTTTGAGAAATTGAACGTATTTGAAGATCTGATTTTGAGAAATTTCGTGACCAAACAGATATTAGAAGATAAATTTTCAAAATTTGATCCAAATCTATGGCCAAACGCGAGAAGTAGGAGTTGGAAATGGAGACCAGGTTGCTGAAAGCCTTCAGAGTAGTGGATGTCCATTAGGGATCGAATTAGAGTTCAACTATCTCCTTATTTCTGGGTTGACTCTGTTTAGACTTTGCCTTATATGAAGCATCTGCATTTTTCTGCTCCTTTGATAAACTGTATTTACATTGTCCTTTTTATGTAAGTTGAATTATTTTGTTATTGATTTAAGCTCGATATGACTCCTTGATTGTTTGAGATGATTCTCCTGCTAATAAAACTGGTCTTTTACTAATCGCAGAGTTTGGTTTTCTGGTGATGGGACATGAATTCGATGTTTATCCTAAGAGAATGATTCGAGAGATGAAGAACTGGAATTGGTTTATCGAGGATGAAGGAGCAGAGAGTGATACCGATGAGGATTCTGATAGGAAAGGCAGAAAGGGCTCTAGGAGAAAACGGAAGAAAAAAGGCGAGGGAGATGATGATGAGTGGACTGGGAAAAGTGAAGATGAGAAGGAACTGCCCACGATTTCTAAGAAACTTCAGGGATCTAAATACATTACAAGGTCCAAGGACAAGTCTACTGCAAAAAGGAATAAACCTTCTACACAGCAAAAACCTAGACCCTCTGAAGAAGAATACGAGGAAGATGAAGAAGAAGAAGATGAGGAGGATGAAACTCTGGGGGGTTTCATTGTAGACGATGTAGAAGAAGAGGCAGAAGTTGGTGACGAAGCAGAAGAAGAGGAGGAATTTGATCCCGATGAAGATGAAGTGGTGTTAGAAGATTGATGTTCCTCCAAAAACCGCGTTAGATGGTTTTTGCTAGCTAGTTTTATGTAGTCTGCCTTTGTGAATTGTGATTGCCTTTTTGGAGTGTCAATCTTGTATTCTACTTGTAGTTCTATATTTTCCTGTTACTGTATATGATAAAGTTGGGCTTGATGCATAATTTTATTAGTACTAGTTCTTTGTACTGAACTAGCTGATTTTGCTACCCATACTAGTGTAGTGATAAGGTCTTTGTATGCTCTACTCTCTCCGGACCTCACTCATGGAATTTCACTAGGTAGTTTGTTGTTGTACTCTTTTGCGTCTTTTGTTGTGTTCTCTCACAGAAACTTATGTATATGACTAAAATTCAAACCTTAGGTAGATGAACTGTCATTGAATATTTCTTTAGACCTTTGTTGAATGGGATAAATTGAAATCACTCGGTTGATTAAGTGACTCATAATAGTGAAAACTTTTCACGACAAAATACGTATTGAAATATTTCTTTTAGACATTTTAAAACTTAAATATGTTTTGAAACATATTAACTTAATCACATAACAATGTTACTTCATTTACTTATACACATCAACTTAAATTGAATGATCAATTTATTGAGGCTAATGTGCACAATCAATGTATGCAACATATTTTAACTAATTATCATATTTGCGTAGTGAATACTAGGAAATATGCACATTTATTCCTTTCAAAATAACTAGGCCAGAATGATCTGGGAGGCCCCTGTACTTGGCATCGTTTGTCAGTTGAACCCAAACTCATCGCTTTGCCAAATGAACCCTTAAACTCAATGAAACTCTATTTTTTAAACCCCTCTAACCATTGACTGAGCTTATGTGACACTGAAACGGCTTAGTTGGACAACTACATAATCCCACGCGTTTTGAAGCAAGTGAATACAATATTTTTAATTTAAAATTATCAAAATTATAAGACAAAACAATAATAATATTTTTTTAAAAAAAAAAAAACTAAAAAAACTCCTTCACTACACCCCATCTCACCCCACCCCCACCCCTTCTATCTTCTTCTTCAGCCCCACCCCACCCTTTTTCTCTTCTTCTTCAACCTCAGCCTCCACCCCCATCCTCCCCCGCCTCTACTCATTTTCTCCTCTTCTTCTTCTTCAACCTCAGCCCACATCCACCCCCCCACCCACCCCCGGCCCTACTCCTTTTCTCTTCTCCTTCTTTAACGTACACATTATCATTTATCATAATAAAATCATCAAATAAAAAATTGAAAAAAGTTTTTTTGCAAGAAAATATACCATTCACCATTTTTATAAACTTAATTCTTTAAGATCTACTACTTGAATTTACATATAAATATATTTTTTACAATTTGAAGTTTTCTTGATATCTCTTTTTATCAAATCAAAATAAATAGAATCATAAAGCATGTGCAAGAACTAGTTATAATCTATTACATTTTGTGATTGAAGAAATTTTTGAGTGTGAACTATAAAGAAAGAAGAAAATGGTAGAAGGTGGAAACAAAGAAGATGAAATGGGAAGGGAGTGAAATGGTAGAGAGAGAGAAAATTGCATTTTTTAAAAATATTATTTATTTTTAAATATTTAATTTCTGATGTGTCATTCAAATAATAATAATAATAATGTGTCATTAAAAAATGATGTGATCTTTCATGTGTAAAATGAGTGTACTACACACACCCATCAAATGAGAAAGGGGTCTAAAATATTGTGTTTGAATGAGTTTAAGGGTAGTTGACAAAGTCGTAAGTACAGGAATCCAACTTACAAATCAAGTCAAGTACAAGGGCCTCTCAAGCCATTTCGCCAAATAACTACTCCTTTATCCCAATTTATAGTTCTCTTTTCTTTTTGGTCAGTTTAAAAAACGAATGACAATTCTATTTTTAATAACCGTTAAAATTTAAATATTCATTTTATCTTTAATGCACATAATTTCTATTTTCCCGGACTATATATGTACTCTCTTTTAAAATTGCTGCTCTACCACCAGTTGTTGCTCTTTCTGTTGAAGTATTTGATTTACTGGAATTTTCAAATTTTAGCACACAAAGCTAGGGTTTACGCAATCACAAAAAACTCAGTATTCGATCTTGTGCTGAAATCTGTCAAGGTTTTGTTGCGGTTCGTTATCTTTTTCAGCTGGAAAGGATAAAGAAAACAATGGATTTTGATGAGGAACAAAATGGAGAAAATGAAGATGTGGAAATGGCTGATAAAGTAGGCGATAGGGAAGCCCATGAATTTAAACCTTCAATCAATGGTTGTTCAGTAAGGTTAGTTTTGTAGCTTAGTTTATAGTTTTGTTTATAGCTTGTAACAAATCACATGTTCTTGATTTCCTTGTTTATCGTTTGAATTTTACCAAATTGTTTGTATTTTCTTGATGATAGAAAACTTTTTGTTGGAGGCATTTCTTGGATGACAACCAAAGGTATTGATGCTATTATTGTAATATTACGTTCCAAATTGGACCCTCGGTTTTTTAACCTGAAATATTTGAATTCTTTAGTACTCTTAAATCTATGTGATTGCGGGAAATCTATTCGCCTCAGTTTTCATATTCTTAGAGATATGTTTTCCACTGTTTTCACATTGAGACTTGTCTTTCTTTGCAATGAATAAGCTTTAAAAGTGAGATTACAATGGTCTTGACTTGGACATGAATATTGGAGTTTTGGTTATGAAGTTAAATTATTCTAAAATTGGTTGCTGAAAATCTTCTATATTAACATTAGGCTTCTATTGCATCTTAGTGTGTTGTATTCTTATCAATTGCCTTAAGCCTATTCTTGGAGCTTAAAAATAGTGTGTTGGCTGGTTAAAGCATGCTTGATGATATATCACTAATGTGTTGTAAGTGGTCATTTGTCACCTGGCCATGCTGATATGGCTCATTTTAAAGATTCATGTAATAGTTAATACTTGATTGGAGTGTGGGAAGTTGGGTTTTGGCTTTCTTTGAACATCAAATAGTAAGGAGATGCAACCTTTGCAGTATGTGTTCCTAACATGAAAATGAAGCATTTTAAAGATTCATGTAATAGTTAATACTTGAATGGGGTGTGGGATTTTGAGGTTTGGCTTTCTTCGAACATCAAACAGTAAAGAGAGGCAACCTTTGCAGTATGTGTTCCTAACATGATAATGAGGAGGCATTTTAAAGATTCATATAATTGTTAATATTTGATTGAGTAATTGAGTTAATCTTCTCCTTCAATAGTAAATTGTGTTTCTTCAAATGCTTTTTTCATGTAATAGAAAATGTTTAATTTTTAACAGTGACAAACCTCAAAATAGTTTGCCCAAGTAAACTATGTTTCACATCTATTTTTGAGATCAATACATCTACTTTATCTGCATTCCTGTTTTCATGATATCTGACTATCTTTGCTCTAACCTCATTTAGTAACTTTTTTCTTTAACATTCCAGAATCACTTAGGGAGTATTTCAGCCAGTTTGGAGAGGTAGCTGACTCTGTAGTGATGTATCAGAAAATCTCTGGAATGCCACTAGGATTTGGATTTGTTACATATGCTGACCCGGAAATTGCAGATAAAGTTTTAAAGGAAGACCATACCATAGATGGTAAAAAGGTAGAATTTTCTCCTGAAAGCACCACATACTGTCATTTTTCCTTTATTTACTATTACTCTTTGCCTTGGTTTATGTTTAAAGAGTATATTCTATTTGTGTATAAGGTCGACGTGAAGATACCAGTAACTTATAGACAGAGAATTTTTGTTGGTGGTCTTCCATTATCTTTAACTGAAGGTAAAGAGTATACATGATATCATTTCTTATTTTTGCATGTTGAGAAAGTTTGCTCTTTAACCTAGTGATTAATTTCAGGCGAGTTGAAGGAATATTTTTCTTCTTATGGCAATGTTGTGGGGCATCAGATCATTTTGGATAAAACAACTGGTCGGATCCAACGTTTTGGCATTGTGAGTTTTGATAAAGAGGAAGCAGTTGAAAAAGTTTTATCTAATGGCCATATCCATGAACTTCGTGGCAAACAAGTGAGTAATTAGGAATTTATACAGCACAGAACTGATTGTTGCCTCTTTTAATTTGACGTAACAAAATAATTTGTTGTCTTTAGGTTGAAATTAAGAGGGCTAAGTCAAAGAGAGATTGTGCTGAACATACAAGTGAAAGCCAGATACATCATCGTGGGAGTGGTTCAAAATCATATTATGGCGATGGTGGTTCTCTAGAGGCTTTTGGCGGAAGATATGGTGGAAATATGGGTAGCGGTTATGGTGGATATGGAGGATATGAAGGATACGGTGACTATGGCGGGTATGGCAAGTTTGCAGGAAGTTATGGTGTAAGTCCTCCAGGATTTTACCCTGGATACGGTTATGGATTTTGGTTTGGTGGAGCTATGTATGGTGCAGCTGGTTACGAAGGCAGCACCTATGGTATACCTGCCTACTATGGTGGTGGTAGTGGTTATGGGAACAGAGGTAACGGCTCGAATGATGGGGGAAATGGAGGATATGGAGGTGGTGGCGGAAATGGTGCCTATGCATATGGGAACGCTGGTGCTGCTAATGGAAGGTTAATGCCTGCCTACTATGGTGGTGGTAGTGGTTATGGGAACAGTGGTAACAACTCGAATGATGGGGGCAACAGAGGATATGGAGGTGGTGGCGGAAATGGTGCCAATGCATATGGGAACGCCGGTGCTGATAATGGAAGGTCTGTGCTTGCCTACTATGGTGGTGGTAGTGATGATGGGAGCAGAGGTAATGGCTCGAATGATGGGGGTAACGGAGGATATGGAGGTGGTGGGGAAAATGGTGCCACCGGTGCTGATAATGGAAGGTCTCATCCTTCTTTGAAGTGACAGGACCGCCTCCAAGGCTGCAAATATTTGATGACTTTTGACCACTAACTTCTAGTAAGATAGATGTATTAGCCTGTTAGCTTTGGGATGTAAAGATAGCATAGTTCTTTGTTTTAACTTTTACAAGTTAATCAACCATCTTATATTGTAAGAAAAGGAGGTTGAAAACCTTGTGATTCTGATCTCACATTTAAATGAAATGTAGATGACAACTTTGTATGAAAACTGAATGTCTATGGGCTGTGGATGAGTTTTTACTAATAGGAACTAATTAGAAGCAAGAGAAGTTTAATTAAATTTCATTCTGCTTAAATCCAGATTGAATATTTCTCAAGCATATTGTCATTTCCTTATCTGCAACAGCAAGATTTTTCTTTATGAATTTTATTTGCTAATTAGTAATTATATATCATTTTACATATTCAAATTCTGCAAAACATGTGTGTTCTCAAACGTATTAAGTTAATCACATGACAATTGTTATCTCATTTAGTTATACATATCCACCTAAATTGAAACATGCAGGTAGGATTGTGTATTGGGTCATTTCAGTTCGGATTTAAAGTTTATGTGTTCGACTTATTGATTATCGTTTGTACTTTATAGACATGTTAAATCGTTGTATTGACTTATAAGGTTATCGGTTATTGATCATTATCAGTTCGCTTATCAGTTTAACCATTAAGATTTAACATCCAAAAAGTCTTTGAAAATCACTTAGAAACTAGGTAATAAACCAAATAACTCATACACATGAATTGACATATTGCATTTTGCTTAGAAGCAAACACTAGCACAATGAATGATAACCGTAAATTTGAGATAATCAAACATAAAAGTATGAAACTAAACGCTAAGTTAAGGACTTAACATACCGAAAAGTATAAATATAATTTATTAATTTACTATCAGCATATCAGATAACCTGGTTATAAAAAAAATCAAAATCATTATCGAAATTGTCAAACCAATAACTCATTAATAATAAATCAATAACTTTTTTTTTGGTTTGGATTATTGGTTTCGATTCGGTTACTTGATTTTACAGCTTATTGATGCTAATGTGTACATTACATAGATGGAGACGGAGGGATAATTCAATTGAAAGGAGTTATGATTTGAATGTTAAAATAAAATAAAAATCCCAATATGGAAGGTGGTGCGTTATATTCCCGGACTATATATGTAGTCTCTTTTGAAACCGCCAAGTTGCTGCTCTTTCTGTTGAAGTATTTGATTTACTGGTAAATCTCATTCGGCGGCAATTTTCAAATTTTAGCGCACAAAGCTAGGGTTTTACGCAATCACAAAAAACTCAGTATTCGATTCTCGTGCTGAAATCTGTCAAGGTTTTGTTGCGATTCGTTATCTTTTTCAGCTAGAAAGGATAAAGAAAACAATGGATTTTGATGAGGAACGAAATGAAGAAACTGACCAACCAAATGAAGATGTGGAAATGGCTGATAAAGTAGGCGATAGGGAAGCCGATGAATTAAAACCTTCAATCAATGGTTGTTCAGTAAGGTAAGTTTTGTAGCTTAGTTTATAGCAAATCACTGGCTCTTAATTTTCTTGTTTGTCGTTTTAATTGTTGCATTTTCTTAATGATAGAAAACTTTTTGTTGGACGCATTTCTACGAAGACAACCGAAGGTATTGATGCTATGTTTCTATATATCTATCATTGTGATATTACGTCCCAAATTGGACCCTCTGCTGAAATATTTGAATTCTTTAATACTCTTAAATCTTTGTGATTGTGGGAAATTTATTCGCCTCAGACTTGGACATGAATATCAGAGTTTTGGTTATGTAGTTAAAGTTATTCTAAAATTGCATCTTAGTGTGATTGGGGTGTGAGAAGTTGGGGCTTGGCTTTCTTCGAACATCAAACAGTAAAGAGAGGCAAACTTTGCAGTATGTGTTCCTAACATGATAATGAGAAGGCATTTTAAAGATTCATATAATTGTTAATATTTGATTGAGTAATTGAGTTAATCTTCTCCTTCAATAGTAAATTGTGTTGGTATCTCTGCTTTTGGATAAATCCTTTAGTTTCTTCAGAAAATGTTTACTAATTTTTAACAGTGACAAACATCAAAATAGTTTGCCTAAGTAAACTATGTTTCGCATCTATTTTTTGAAATCAGTGCATCTACTCTATCTGCATTCCTGTTTTCATAATATCTGACTATCTTTGCTCTAACCTCATTTAGTATTATTTTTTTTTACTTTCCAGAATCATTTAGAGAGTATTTCAGCAAGTTTGGACAGGTAGCTGATTCTGTACTAATGTGTGATAAAGACTCTGGAAGGCGACGAGGAATTGGATTTGTTATATATGCTGACCCAGAAATTGCAGATAAAGTTTTAAAGGAAGACCATACCATAGATGGTAAAAAGGTAGAATTTTCTCCTGAAAGCACCACATACTGTCATTTTTCCTTTATTTACTATTACGTTTTGCCTTGGTTTATGTTTAAAGAGTATATTCTATTTGTGTATAAGGTGGTCGTGGAGAAACCAGTAACTAATACAACGAGAATTTATGTTGGCGGTCTTCCATTATCCTTGACTGAAGGTAAAGAGTATACATGATATCATTTCTTATTTCTGCCAGTTGAAAAAGTTGATGCTTTAACCTAGTGATTAAATTTCAGATGAGTTGAAGGAACATTTTTCTCCTTATGGCTATGTTGTGGATCATTGCATCGTTTTGGATAGAAGACATGGTCGGAGCCGACGTTTTGGCTATGTGAGTTTTGATAAAGAGGAAGCAGTTGAAAAAGTTTTATCTGATGGCCATATGCATGAACTTTGCGGCAAACAAGTGAGTAATAAGGAATTTATACTGCCCAGAACTGATTGTTGCCTCTTTTACTTTGATGAAACAAAAAAAAATTGTGTTTGTAGGTTGAAATTAATAGGGTTGCTCCAAAGAGAACTGGTGCAGCTGGTTACGGAGGTAGCAGCTACGGTGTGCATGCCTACTATGGTCGTGGTAGTGGTTATGGGAACAGTGGTAGCAGCTGGAATGATGAGGGCAACAGAGGATATGGAGGTGGTGGCAGAAATGGCGCCTGTGTATATGGGAACGCTGGTGCTGCTAATGGAAGGTCTGTGCCTGCCTACAATGGTTGTGGTCGTGGTTATGGGAACAGTGGTAGAGGCTGGAGTGATGGGGGCAACAGAGGATATGGAGGTGGTGGCAGAAATGATGCCTATGCATATGGGAACTCCGGTGCTGCTAATGAAAGGTATGTGCCTGCCTACAATGGTCGTGGTCATGGTTATGGGAACAGTGGTAACAGCTGGAATGATGGGGGGAACGGAGGATATGGAGGTGGTGGCACAAATGATGCCTATGCATATGGGAACACCGGTGCTGCTAATGAAAGGTATGTGCCTGCCTACAATGGTCATGGTCGTGGTTATGGGAACAGTGGTAACAGCTGGAATGATGGGGGGAACGGAGGATATGGAGGTGGTGGCACAAATGATGCCTATGCATATGGGAACACCGGTGCTGCTAATGAAAGGTATGTGCCTGCCTACAATGGTTGTGGTCGTGGTTATGGGAACAGTGGTAACAGCTGGAATTATGGGGGAAACGGAGGATATGGAGGTGGTGGCACAAATGATGCCTATGCATATGGGAACACAGGTGCTGCTAATAAAAGGTATGTGCCTGCCTATAATGGCCGTGGTCGTGGTTATAACAGTGGTAACAGCTGGAATTATCGGGGGAATGAAGGATATGGAGGTGGTGGCACAAATGATGTCTACGCATATGGGAACACCGATGTTGCTAATGAAAGGTATGTGCCAGCCTACAATGGTCGTGGTCGTGGTTATGGGAACAGTGGTAACAGCTGGAATGATGGGGGGAACGGAGGATATGGAGGTGGTGGCACAAATGGTGCCTATGCATATGAGAACACCGGTGCTGCTAATAGAAGGTATCATCCTTATTGAAAGTGACAAGTTCGCCTCCAAGGCTGCAAATATTTGATGAGTTTTGACTGTTGCATTTAGGTGTAAAATCTTTGTTGGTGCCCCCCACCACTAACTTCTAGTAAGATAAATGTATTAGCCTGTTTACTTTGGGATATAAAGATAGCATACAGTTCTTTATTTTAACTTTTACAAGTCAATCAACCATCTTGTATTGTAAGAAAAGGAGGTTGAAAACCTTGTGATTCTGATCTCACATTTAAATGAAATGAAATGTAGTTAACAACTTTGTACGAAAACTGAATGTCTGTGGGCTGTGGATGAGTTTTTACTAATAGGAACTAATTAGAAGTAAGAGAAGTTTAACTAAATTCCATTCTGCTCAAAGCCAGATTGAAGATTTCTCAAGTATAGTCATTTCCTTATCTGCAACAAGAAGATTTTTCTTTATGAATTTTAATTGCTAATTGTATAATTTTACATATTTACTATCCTTTGGAATAGGCCAAACACATATGTAGGCCCTTAAACTTGTCCTTAAATTTATTTTGGCACTCCAACTCAACCTTGTTCCATTTTAACCCTTCAACTCCAATTTTTATGTTCCATTTTGGCACTTCTTTCCAAAGAATCAACAAAGTGGGATGTGTGTACTTCACATGCCATGATATGGCACAAAAGCCAATTAAAAACACATACACAATTTCTCTAACTTGCCCCCATTTTTTATTTTGTCATGCTAATTTAGCCTTGTTCTATTTTAATCCTTCAACTCTATTTTATATAGTATCATTTAAACACAAAATACTAAATTTATGATTTCTTTATGTTTATTTATGTTCTTCATTTCCACTTTTTCATTTTAAAAATCAACGTCATATTTTTTTTAAAAAAATAATAATGGATGAACCTCATTTTTTGTTTAATTTTTTTTTTAGAGTTTCTGTACATTATTGCGTGAAAAAATAATCAACGAAAGTGTGTTGATTTTCTTTTTTAAACAATTAATTAAATTAAATAACACCACATATTTTTTTTCATATCTAGTCTATTTGAACTAACTCAAATATTAGCTTTCCATTTTTTCATTCAACTAAATACGAGTAAAAAAAAACTCATGTTCATTTCTAAATAATAACACTACAAGAAAATGTTGAAACTCGATAGACTTCGTTGGGTTGTCATTGATTTTCTTAAGAAAGAAAATTGACGCACTTTTGTCGGTTATTTTTCACTCAAAATTATAGGGAAACTCTTAAAAAGAAATTGTTACTTTTTTTTTATAAAAAAAATCAATGATCATCCCGTCAATTTTAATTTTTTACAATAACTAATGAATGAACGCCGATTTTTAAAATGCAAAATTGCAGTTGAATAACATACATAGAAATCATAAAATTAGTATTTTGTGTCAAATGGTACATAAAAGAAATAGAGTTGAAGGGTTATCTTTTATTTTATTTTTTTTGTCTTTCACTCTCTTAGAGAAAGTGTGATGCACACTCTGCCACATCACTTAGAAGTGCCAAAATGGAACATAAAAATTGGAGTTGAAGGGTTAAAATGGAACAAGATTGAGTTGGAGTGCCAAAATGAAATTTAAGAACAAGTTTAAGGGTCTACATATGTGTTTGACAATTAATGGGGTTTCTTCAGAACTTTTTGGGTTGATTTTAGCTTCATGGGAGTTGATTTATCTCCGGTTGTTGGAGCATGCTTTCAATTTTTGGAATCGACAATTTTTTCCGCCATTGTTGTTAAGACTTGAGGTTCGTTAAGTTCCATGGATTGGGGTTCTGCAAGAGTTTAGTTTGCGGCATTTTTGCAGAATGAAATAATAAATGCAATACCGAATTATTTTTGTCATTGCAAATGCGATTCTAGGTAACTTGATTTTTCAAATTTTAAAGAAATTTAATTTTGACGACTGGAAATTAACAAGATGTTAGAATTCCTTTAACTTTTTGGGTTGTTTTCATTCAAAAAGAAGATTTTTTTTTTAGTTTAAACTTTCAACCAACTGATCTTTTGAAAGAATTGGGTAAGATGATGTATTTAGAGAGGAAGTAATTAAATAATAGAGAGAAAAAATGACACATAGCGCTTTTTAATTCATTTTTGGAAGAAATTTTATTCATCCACGTGCGTCATCTGTGTGAATACAAACAGGGGAATAAAATAGATCAAAATGGTCTATTTACAAGGGTATTCAATACATAGTCAAAGTGTCTTTTTGAAAATTCGGGATAACTTCAGGTGTCACTTTATGTCTTTTTTCTATAATTAACTTATTTGTATAATGAATACTAGAAGTTTTTTCAAAATTTAAACTATTTTCTCTATTATGACTTGCTTTTCTTTTTAGCAATTAGTTCAAAAAATGAATGACACATTTTTATATTTAGTAACAATTTAAATTTAAATATTCCTTTTATTTTTATTGAAATAATTTATAATCAAATAAATATCTTAACTTATTTTAGACTTCAAGTTTCAAAATCTTTTTTTTTCTTAAACTCTATATCGAGTTAAATTGTATCACAAGATAGAGACAAATGTATAATTCAATTGGAAGGAGTTATAATTTGAATGTTAAAAAAAAATAAAAATCCCAATATGGAAGGTGGTGCGTTATATTCCGGGACTATATATGTAGTCTCTTTTGAAACCGCCAAGTTGTTGCTCTTTCTGTTGAAGTATTTGATTTACTGGTAAATCTCATTCGGCGGCAATTTTCAAATTTTAGCGCACAAAGCTAGGGTTTTACGCAATCACAAAAAACTCAGTATTCGATTCTCGTGCTGAAATCTGTCAAGGTTTTGTTGCGATTCGTTATCTTTTTCAGCTAGAAAGGATAAAGAAAACAATGGCTGATAGGGAAGCCCGTGGTTCTTCAGCAAGGTAAGTTCATAGCTTAGTTTATAGCTTGTAGCAAATCACATGTTCTTGATTTCCTTGTTTATCGTTTGAATTTTACCAAATTGTTGTATTTTCTTGATAATAGACCACTTTTTATTGGAGGCATTTCTATGGAGATAACCGAAGGTATTGATGCTATCTTGCTATATATGTATCATTGTGATATTACGTCCCAAATTGGACCCTCTGTTTTTTAACCTGAAATATTTGAATTCTTTAATACTCTTAAATCTCTGTGATTTATTCGCCTCAGTTTTCATATTCTCAGAGTAATATTTATGATTTTTTACTTTCCAGAATCCTTGAGGGCCCATTTCGGGCAGTTTGGAGATCTAGCTGATTTTGTACTAAAGCGTGATAAAGTCTCTGGAAGGCGACTAGGATTTGGATTTGTTACATATGCTAACCCGGAAATTGCAGATAAAGTTTTAAACACATACCATAACATAGATAGTAAAGAGGTAGAATTTTCTCCTGAAAGCACCACATTACTGTCATTTTTCCTTTATTTACTATTACTCTTTGCCTTGGTTTATGTTTAAAGAGTATATTCTATTTGTGTATAAGGTGGATGTGAAGATACCAGTAACTTATAGACAGAGAATTCATGTTGGTGGTCTTCCATTATCTTTAACTGAAGGTAAAGAGTACATGATATCATTTCTTATTTCAAAGTTTGCTCTTTAACTTAGTGATTAATTTCAGGTGAGTTGAAGGAATATTTTTCTTCTTATGGCAATGTTGTGGGGCATCAGATCATTTTGGATAAAACAACTGGTCGCTCCAGAGGCTTTGGCTTTGTGAGTTTTGATAAAGAAGAAGCAGTTGAACGTGTTTTATCTAATAGCGATATGCATGAACTTCGTGGCAAACAAGTGAGTAATTAGGAATTTATAGAGCACAGAAGTCAGAACTGATTGTTGCCTCTTTTACTTTGATGAAACAAAAAAAGGTTGTCGTCTGTAGGTTAAAACTACAAGGGTTTTTCCAATTAGAGCTGGTGCAGCTGGTTAAAGAGGCAGCAGCTATGGTGTGCCTGCCTCCTATTGTCGTGGTCGTGGTTATGGGAACAGTGGTAACGGCTGGAATGATGGGGGGCAACAGAGGATATGGAGGTGGTGGCAGAAATGGTGCCTGTGTATATTGGAACGCTGGTAATAGAAAGTATCATCCTTATTGAAAGTGACAAGTTCGCCTCTAAGGCTGCAAATATTTGATGAGTTTTGACTGTTGCATTTAGGTGTAAAATCTTTGCTGGTGCCCCCTACAACTAACTTCTAGTAAGATAGATGCATTAGCCTGGAATATAAAGATAGCATAGTTCTTTGTTTTAACTTTTACAAGTTAATCAACCATCTTATATTGTAAGAAAAGGAGGTTGAAAACCTTGTGATTCTAATCTCACATTTAAATGAAATGTAGATGACAACTTTGTATGGAAACTGAATGTATGTGGGCTGTGGATGTGTTTTTACTAATAGGAACTAATTAGAAGTAAGAGAAGTTTAACTAAATTTCATTCTGCTCAAAGCCAAATTGAAGATTTCTCAAGCATATTGTCATTTCCTTACCTACAACAAGAAGATTCTTCTTTATGAATTTTAATTGCTAATTATAGTACTATCATTTTTCTTTATGGAAACGTCAGTGCTGTTGATAGAAGGTATTATCCTTATTGCTCGGACGTTTTTTTTAAAAGAAAATTTTCAATTGAACTTTTGAAGAGTGAAGTTAAGTGTTCCAATTTATATTTTTGGTTGGGATTGTTATATGTTATGTTTGTCATTTTTATACGGTGAAATTATTTTTCACGTGATAATTTTTTATTTTAATAAGAAAGAATATAATTCATACACCGTTACATATTATTATTTACAAACTTATAAGTAATAATTTAAATATATTTTTCAATACTTCAAATAATTAAGATATGAAATTAAAATAAAATTACGGATAATTTAAGTATATATTTTTTACGCTCCACTGTCTCAAATAAAGAAAAAGACAAAAAAGAAGTACGTGTTGAGACTAAATTTGCAGTGTAATAAATAGCCTCAGAACGGCGTTGGAAGCGGTCTAATACATTTTTAAGCGCTTTATTTACTCCCCTCGTTTTCCTCTCCTTCACGTCACGTCCCTTTCTTTCAATTCCTGAAAATCACTCAACGCTTTCTGAATGAGGACTTCTGGGGCGAAAGCTAACTTCTTGCCTCCTGGGCTTGTTTCCAATCTTCAAGATGTTCTTTCTAGCAGAAAGGGTGCTCCCCAAAACGATAAAAATGATGATTCCACGGAACCCAACTCGGATCCTGTAGAGGTTGACGATACAAAGCCTGTTGTTTTAGTTACTAACGCTGATGGGATTGAATCCCCTGGCCTTACCTATCTTGTTGATGCTCTTGTTCGTCTGGGCCTCTACAATGTTAACGTTTGCGCTCCTCAATCGTGGGTTCTATTTTAAATTTCTCTTTCCCTGTTACTTATACGCAGTTTCTTGTGACTCTTGATTAATTGTCTCATTGCACTAGCGGACAAAGTATTTTCACTAAAGTCCTTCAATATATTAAGAAGTAACACATGAAGAAGCCAACGAGGATTCAACATTAACTAGATATACGTAAAAATAGCTTTAACCATGTATAAAGGTATAATTTTTGGAATGAAATGGGTCCAAATGAGGGGGAATATATAAAAGGGTTTCCATAGCTAATTCCAACAAGTTTTGGATTGAGCCATAGTGCTACTTTTGGGATATTGTACTCTTGTGGTTGTCCGTGTTTTGTAGATGTTGAAATTATGTTATCTGTAATGCGGGATCTCTTGGTTTTTGTGGTCGAAATGGGTCCTGAGTTAGCTTTGTTGATTCATTGCAGTTTATATGTAATACATATCTGAGATTTCTAATGTGATAGTGGAATAAGAGTGATATTAAATTTTGTATTAATAAAACATTATCCCCTGCATTAGTAAGACTAATATTAGATTGGATAAAATCATTTAATCATAATCCAAACTAAGCGCTTTATAACTTATGGTTAATGTGTTTTCTTCCAAATGCTATTGTAGAGATGAATCAATGGCAGGCCATTCTTTTACCCTGAAAGAATCCATTGCTGTTACGTCGGCTGAGATTCCTGGTGCTACTGCTTATGAAGTTTCAGGTATGACATTGTTACTATTGGCTTTTAGTGTATATGTTCTACTCGGTCTTTTGTTGGAAAAATTGTAATCTATATTTACCCTAGCTTTGTAGGATTACACTTACATTTAGAAACTATACAGTATTTCAGCTCTAACATGTTACGCCTTTTGAATTTGTTCTGGTGTCAGGGACTCCCGTAGATTGTGTGTCATTAGCCTTGTCTGGTGCACTATTTTCCTGGTCAAAGCCTATGCTGGTATTTTTTGACATGTTTTCAGTTATACCATTTTCCTATTCCATTTTTGGGTTTGGTATTGCTTATGTTGCTGACTATCCTGTTATTTATTTCTGCTTGGACGTTTAGGTGATAAGTGGAATCAATAAGGGCTCAAGTTGTGGCCATCATATGTAAGTAGTGTTTTCTTTTTATGACCTTTCTGTTAGTGAACTATAAAATTTAGCACAACTTTATAGTTTGAAATTGTTTTATTATGACTACTGCTCATATTGAAGTTGTGAATTGGCACTTTCTTGCTCTTTTATTTGTTACTTCTATATCAGCATAGAATTTTGTGATTATTTGTACTACTTCACTGTTTCCAGGTTTTACTCAGGTGTTGTAGCTGGTGCAAGGGAGTCATTGTTTAGTGGTGTGCCATCTATATCGATATCACTTGACTGGTATTTGCCTATCATTTAGGGGATACTGCTGAAAATTTTAATCACTCTTGATGGTCTTAACAATGTACCCATAATCTATTTTAGGAAGAAGGATGAAAGTCAGGAAACTGATTTCAAGGATGCCGTTGGTGTTTGTTTACCGTTGATAAATGCAGCCCTTAGAGATATAGAGAAGGGAGTTTTTCCCAAATGTTGCTTGCTGCATGTGGAAATTCCAAAGTCTCCTCTGACAAACAAGGTCTGTTTTATTGTCACCCTTGAGGCGCTTCTTCCCATTGAGAAAAATACGAGTTTTTGGACTTGTGATTCCTTGGTCAGACCAGTTCATCAAAAAGAGTCTCCATTCGAAACTGCTAATTGTCAATCATTCTGAAGAATGTACGTGTGACACTATTGGTGTTGGCATGCAAAAGCAAAGTTTTAGTCTTCTTTCCTTTTACTCCCCAAGTCCAGCCACATTACTGTTTTGCTTTAGCATATTATATCTCTCCATGTATGTGGATGTAGAGAGATTATTTTTACCTTTTATGTGACAGGGATTCAAATCGACCAGGCCAAGTCATTGGAGCCCTAAGCTTTGCTGGCAAGCTATTTCAGCAAGCAGGAATCCTGCTGCCGGACGTTTTGTTCCCAATCAGCAAATGCTTGGACTACAGCTTGCGCAACTAGGCCGAGATGCTTCTGCAGCGGTGAGTTAACTGGTCCTTCACTGGTATGTGGTGACCTAGATAATTTATGATGATGATAGCAAGTGTGTAGTATTGCCTTTAAGTGAGTGACAACCTAATTGCTCTTAAAGTTAAACAAGATCAAGAATTGAGCTGTCCCCTACCTATATCTAAAAGGAATTTATATGGAGTTGAAATTCTGTTGAATCTTAAAAAGTAGAGTAGTCAGAGCTTAAGGAAGGTAGTGACTTAAAAGCTGATTCATTTCCCAGTTTCCAGTAAGATGAGTAGTATTTGAGTGGCTTCTTTGATTCCGTTATAGTACACAATAAGACAAAAGTGCACATAAATGGGTCAAAATATAGTTATTTGTAACACTTTGCAGCCCCTGCTTGTTTTAGTTTTCTCAATCAAGGTTTGCATTGTAGATACTCTTAACCATTCAGACTTCCGAATTCTCATTTTTTTTCAGGGTGCCGCTCGTCGGTTAGCCACACAGAAAAAGAATATAGAGGAGGTTGAATCGGTTGGTGTATCAGGGAAATCTGATCCCAACCGGAAAGCCAAGTACTTCAGATTGGAGGTAAGGAAATTTTTTCCATCTCTATGGAAATATTGTATCCAGTTGCTGTCTTGGATAAGTAAATAGAGGAATCTTCAGGTTTATTTTCTAATTGAAAATGCCATTTTCAACTTAATTAATCTATGTCAATGGAAAAGAGGGATCTTATGTATCAGAAGAACATGTTAAATCGTCACATTAATCCATAATTTTCCTCTCTTTGAATGGCTTGTGCGGAAGCACAAAAAAGCCAAATGTCTCACATTTCCTTATACTAATCTTTCTCATCAATGCCTTTCCATTTCTTTGTACTTAGTACCAGTTGGTTCTAATATTTAAGTGAATGACCTTATTTGTTATTTGCGCTGCAGTTACTTGACAAAAAGCAGGAAGAAGAGGATGAGGATTTAGATTTTAGAGCTCTTGAAAATGGCTTTGTAAGTTTATTACTCATATCCTTAGTGTAATTGTCTTTTTTTCCCCAGGCAGTGCTGGATATGTAACGTTAACCAATGTCAAACTAGTGATAAGCTGTCTTTATATGCTTTTGACCAATTGATATTATTGTGCTCAACAGATAGCAGTCACTCCAGTCTCTCTATCGATGCATGTAGAAGCAGGCGTTCACACAGCTGCTTCAGAGTGGATTTCAACTGCATTAGAAGTTGGACAATGAAATTCATCCAGTCACACTTGATCAGTAACCTTTTGTACATCTCGAGATGAATTTGGTTCGACCATCCTATGCAAAATCCATATTGTTGATTCCTTGATTGTTGATTTGTTTTTGTCTATTACCTCATCCTTTTGTATTTTGTAGTGAAGCTAATTCACCAGCTATTGATTCAGAAGTGCCACTTTTTTTTTTGTTTGCTTGGTACCACAGGGCTGTGTTGTTGTAGGTTCCTTTATTGACAAAGTTGTGGTTAGGCAGAATATTTAGGTTATTCTTTTCTACCTTGTAAACAGAAACAGCCAGATGAAATATAGTGTACTGTTGTTTGTTACCTGATATGCTAAAAGTTGAGTGCTTGTTTACAAATACCCGATCCCCCCCATTCGGAGTATATACAACTGAGCTCGCTTGATGTTAAACTTCTAATGTATGTATTATATATCTTGTGGCCAACAAAGTAATTCAAGATACACACTCCTTGGCATCTTCTGATTGTTTAGATTGACTTTTTTTAAGTGACTTATAAGTTAAAAGTCATAAGTTGGTAACCCCTAACTTTTGACTTTTGGCTTCTTCTTTTTTTTAGGTTACTTTTCTTGCTTTAAATTGTGGGTTATTCGAACACTCCAAAACTAAAAAAAAAAGTCACTAAAAATAAACCAATTCAAACCCCGACTAAATCTAGTCCTAAAAAGAAAAATAGAATAGCCCACAATATTATATATCTTGTAAGCTGGTAATGGATCTCTTACCTTACATAATTAAACCTTGGGACAATTATAATATTTTGTTATCATAAGTTATGCATAATATTATTAAAATTAAAATATAACAGCTTACCATTTATAGCTAACATAATTATTTCGAGCTGAAAAGTAACTATTTGTGAATTTTAACGCTTTCAAATCAAAACCAGGCCAACCCAACTTAATTGGGTTAGAACCCAATCTAGAAGCCAAGGCCCACAAGAAGGGTCGGCCCATTTAGTGCCTAGAGTTCTTTTCGAAGGAAAAATGGTGGAAACTGGAAGAACTCGGAGTAGTAGATACTGTGTTAGGGTTTATCATCGTTCTGTAGCAACTGTGTGTGAAAATGTCGTCGTCGTCGAAAACTCTAATTCGGACGGGCGTTTCTCTGATTAGCCGTTTGATGACCCAAAACTTGAGATGTTCAGCACAAACGCCACAAATTGCGAATCCGACACTCACTTCTAGGTTTTTTCCATCTCTCTCCTCTCAGTCTCAGTCTCCGATTCGTCTTGATTTACCCCAGTCCGACGTTGATTCGTTCAAGAAGGTTTCCACTGAAGGTTTCTTATACCCTACTGGCCTTCCTTCACTCCCCTTTTTCCTCCCTGACGGTAAATTCCCTCTCTATATGTCAATTTATACTATACTTTTGCGTAATGTTAGCATTTAGCTGGAAAGTTGAGGTACATAATACTTTTAATATTTCATTTTGTGATACGAAATGGGTTGCGAATATACCTGATGCATATAGCTGAGCTCAACTAGGTTGGAAATTGTAGCATAGTTGAATGATTGATTTACATTTTATTTTTTCTGAGAAGTGGAGCATTTAGAAGTTTCCTCGCACTCTAGGTTGCTAATTGATTGCATTTCGAATGCAATGACAGTTGTTCCAATTCTAGCCTATTGCTTATTTTTAGGTTCACACTAACCGGAAAGTTCGATATAATTAGATCACTGGAAAAAGCTCTTCTTTTTTCTATAGACAAAGATGATATGCCTGACAAATCCATCTAAAGCTGCAGTTTGTACCATGGGTTGATAAACTGTTGGTTAACTGATAGAAGTCACCTATGAAAGTTTCTGGAGCAGCTTGCTGTTCAAGTTCGTTGATAATTACAGTCAGATTAATCTAAAAGTGGGAATGTTGGGTTGAAATTCAACAGAGTCAAACAGGTTGAGTTAACAAAAATATGAGTCATAGTCCAACCTTTTGAAGTTTATGTGTAGGTCAAAGTTGGGTTTCAAATGTATAGAATAATAAGTGATGTCAACTTGCTCAATCCAACCCATTGTGGGGTTGTGCTAATTGCGCTCATAGAACTACAATTTACTTATGGTATGTCTTGATAAACCTTGGTTTGACTTCAATGCTACAGAATTTTGCAACTAATTGTCGAACTTTGAACATTGTGATGTTGGTTTCATCCTCTGAATATTTGTTTCCTTACTGCATTTCGTTTCAATGATGCTTAAATTTTAAAAAGTCAAAATACTATCTAATGCCTATTAAAAGAAACATTGAGCTGTCAGCAACCTCTTCTTCAACCAAAACAGACGAAGAGTTCAGTTTTCTGTGAAAACTAGCTTAGTACTTTTTCGAACTAGAATGGAAAAGGAGCTCTCTTATCTCAAAAGATAAGTGGATTGGAAAAAGAATCACCAACAGGGTAGATGTAACCTGTTAGGTTGCCGATTTTTAGATCATTGTAACATGTGTTAATACATAGTTAAAAAGTATCGATGTCAAATGGGTGGGTTGAGTTGGATTTGGGCGGGCCAAAATGGGTTGGGCTAAAAAAAATGGCTCAAAAGTTACTTGGGATGAAACGGGTTGTGCTAAAATAGGTTGGGTCATGACCCGCACAACTTGACACAATCTTCTTAACTGATTCCTTTCTGCTAAAAGTGGAGATAATTTCCATCCATTATGGTTGCACTATATATACATCCAAACACAGCAAATATTCGATTCGGAAAATTCATTGCACATTCCAAAAACAAACCCAGTACTTGACTTTATATTCTATGGCTATTGCAGTACTCGTGGTTCCCCGCATTCTAACTGGAACTTGGAGAGAGCTCTCTTAAGAAGTTAGGAAACAAGAATTATCTTGATTTGTTACCTTCTAAAAAAAAAAAAAAATTATCTATAATTTAGACAATCATATATAAAGTTGATCAGTTGATAGTTGTATGGAGGCATTTTTTGTCTATTTGGTTGCTTTCTGATGAGTCAAATTTACGTAGATGTTAGACAATTATATTTAGAGTTGATAGCAACCAAATAGACAAAAAAGAGCCTCCATATACTCTATCTTCTTTAGAGTTGATAGCTGTATGGAGTTGCTCTTTTTTGTCTATTTGGTTGCAATACGCTTCTACAAAAGCAGTTGTTGTGTAATTCAGTTTCCTAATGAATAAAAAGCTTGGGTAGTCAGAAATTGAACTTGTTATATAACTCTTAGATGTTTGCACCTTCGTTGGACCGCTAATTATTTTTGTAAAAGCTATTAACAATTGACATTATTATTTGTTATTTCATCTGTATCCATTTAAACCATCAGACTTGCTTACAAAGAATCGTGTAATTAACTTGGTTTTACATGAATACTGCATCATTCTTCTATTTCTGTTCATACAGTTGATGATTCTTCATCAAGTGGGATGCTTTTGTTTCCTAAGAGAACCTACCAACCCAGCAACATGAGGCGCAAAAGGACACATGGTTACTTTGCTCGGTATGCATCTCTCCCTTGCTCTTTAGCTGCCAGACAAATGGGACACATTCTCATGAGAGTAGCATTGTGCACCATCTGGCTCCTATTTTATTCTATTTTAGCTTTTTGGGTCTTTGAGTTGTTGAAGGAATATGTACTAGACCATTTTTGTTTCTCTTCCTGTTTCTGGAAACTGTAGGATTACGACATATAATGCATTCCCCAGAGGCGTATTTAAGTTATTTTAGAACAACTCCAACTAGAGGTAAGTGTACATGAAAGGGGAGATGGAGTCAGAATATCCCATGTACTGCTGGTCTTAATACGTAGCCCAGGATTCTGGTGTGCTCTCATCCTGGCAATGAAAATTAGGTTTTCATTTGCCTCCTAGACTACCTGATCAGCTTAGTCATTTATGTCCAGCTAGTTTCATTTTTCTCGGTTCACTTGCTTTTACAGGAATTTTTTTCTCTAGATTGCTTATGTTATTTGTTGAGTTCTGACTAGCACATATTTTGATCCTTGAGCAGCAAAGCAACTAAGGGTGGGCGTAGAGTTATTGCTCGACGTATTGCAAAGGGTCGATCAAGAATAACAGCATAACAACATTTTTTGTTGCATGGTTTACAAGGTGTACGGAGCAAGGCTAGAAGGCTGGTTTAGGGCATTTCACGGACAGTTAAATAGGTTATGCTGCGACTATTGAAAACAATGGGATGAGGAGGTGATGTTTTGGTGATCCTCAAACTGGATTTTTGTACTTAGGCTCCTACTTCCCAGCTTTGTCCCCAACTCTTCTTAATATTTTTCCAAGCTGGTTTTATTTCCCTTAAAGATATGTTTGATCTGTAATAAGGAATTCTTTTTCACTGTACCTAAGGGTCCTTGAGATTGACGTACGAGCAAAATCTATTTATTGAAGTTGTTATTTTGGCAAGGTCAAATTTCTGACATTTTTTATTGAAGTTGAGGCCTTGGCAAGATTAGACATTGGACATACTTTACTAAAAATTTTACCTTGACAAGATAAAACTTCAAACATATATCTACCGCACATCAGAAATATAATGATTTGTCAATGTTAACGTGAGACATTTGTTGGTTGAAGTAGACTTGTTAGGATGAAATATTGAATATTTTTGTTTGAAGTTTATCCTGATTTGTCAAGGTCAATTGAACACATTTTTTTATTGAAGTTGTGGCCATGACAAGATCCACTTCTTTAGAACATTATACTTTAATTGTTATAAATTCTAAAAATATTGTTGTACAACAATTAAGAAGAAAAAGGAGGAAGAGAATAACTTTCTTTGATTACTTGTATTTTGGGTTCTAATTTAACTTTTGAATATGGCTATAAATTAAACAGGGCGCCTAGTGAATAACAAGGAAGTAAAGTGTGTATAAATTCAGGGGGAGGGAACAACTATCTAGTTTAGGGGGTCATCATTATGTTCACCTTTTTATTTCTTTTTTGCAACTTTACCTGTTTTGGGAATGATTTCAAATGTGTGCCACTAAAATTGAAAGTTGCGTTCGATTTCAGATATTTAAAATATGATTTTATAAAATCCAAACATCGGACATTATTGCCTAAAGTTTGATATGACTTGTCAAGACCAACTTCAGACTTTTTTTGAGTGAAGTTGTGAACTTGACAAAATCAAACCTTAGACTTTTTTTTTTATCTAGCTAACGCTAACTTCAAACATCTTTTACTAATATTATAACCTAGACAAAACCAAACTTCAGTCATTTTTATTGAGATTGTAGCAACTTGTAAATAAAAACCATACTCTTTCATGCACTTGCAAAAATTGGCTAAAACTTCAATCATTCTCTCTATTGGGCCCTTTGGAAATCCAAGTCGAAACAGGGAGCCTTAGCCCGAGGCCCATGTTTTGTTTTGTATTGCACTGATATATTCATCTCCTGGTTAAAATAAAAATAAAAATTCACATCTCCGGTACCTGACGTTCATCGGCTTCTCTCCTCTCCTGCAAAACAGTATCTGCAGCCTGATCAGAACCTGCCATGGCAGAATTTAGAGGCAATGAAACCCCAACATCTACTGCAGGTAAATTTCCTATTCTCTAGGTGTTGCAATCGAAAGGGGTTTCTTAAGGGAATATAAAATATATTGCAAATTAAGATGCTGACTGATTTTAATTACAAGGAAAAACATATTGTACATTTTGCCTAATTCCTCATGTATTCGTGAAATAACTGAACAGAATTTCTTTTTTTTTTTTGCTCTGTTAAGATTGTTCCAATTTGAGCGTGTATGTGGACAGTGATTGCTTTAAAAATTCAATCTTGTTTTATGAATGGATACTGAATTGGTATTTGCGTTGAATATTCACATCCCAATTGTTGTGGTTGTTTGATTTTCTTATATGGTATTGGGTAATCCTTCGCCTTGAAGATTGAGTTAAACTCAAAGGTTTATTTCGTTATTAGCTAAGTTTCATCCCAATCTTGATTTAATGAATGTTGGGACCCTTGTTATATTGTCTATGTTCCAGTTGTGGGGCCTGGGTGTGCGGGGGTGTTGGATATCCCACATTGGTTGGGATGTGGTCCTTTGGTCTCTTCATATGGTGGCAAATTGGCAATCCTTGCCTTGATGCTTGTTTTGGGGATTGAGTTAGACACAAACATTATCTCTTTATCAGGGTAAGGCTCATCCCGATTCTTGATTTGATCAATGTTGGGCCTCAGTATTATATTCTCCACATTTTAGTTGCCAGACTGGGCATACGGGGGTGTTGGATATCCCAGATTTGGGGGGATATGATGCTTTGGTTTAGTTATAAGGTAATCCTCACCACTTCAACTAGATTTTGAGGTTGAGTTAGGTCAAGTTTCATTTGTCTTTCTTTATCATGATCTATGTTGCTTGGACTCTTCAAAATTGTATGTTGGATTCTCCGAAAGTAGTATATTTTTTAAGAATCCGACAGGGGTGCAGCATTGAAACTAAAGAGTCTGCCCAATTTAGATGATGGTAATGGTCTGTCCTTTTCTTCTCAGTTTGTTCTTGTATTCTCTTGTCTGCTGGTAATTGATTTATTTCTGATGCTAATCTAGGCTAGTCTGTTGTTGTACAAACTTAGGACGTTAGATGGTTTATGTTCCTCATTTCCATTTTGATCTCTTTGTAATTTTAGATGTGAAAGATGTAAAAGCACCAAATTTGATTGAGCGCGCAAAGGAAGAGATTGAGGCTATGATTCACCACGATAAAAAACCTCACCATCACAAGGAAACTCATGGAACTAGTGACATTGATGAAAACACCCCAGTTGATGAAGTTAAGGGACCCAATGTATTCGAACGAGTCAAGGAAGAAATTGAGGCAGTTGTACAAAGTATCCACCCTAAGAAATGATCCAACTCTTCTCATGCCATTATTTAACAATATTGGTTTCCCTGTTTCATTCTGATGTACAATAGTTAATTGCTATGTATAAATAGTACTGATTTCTTGGTGTTTACATGGAAGGTGTTGCTATTTGTGACAGCATTTGATGTCTATTGATCTTTTAGAAGGATCCTTGCTGATTTGTTTTGTATAACCATGGTATGACCATGCGTGCACCTCGACTAATTCCATGTGGTACCATTGTTACCTCCCCTACTAGCATGGGTACTGAGTAACTCTATCTACCTAATATTACATAAATAGAAAGAAATCACCAGTAGTATTTTTGCCTCTGTCGGGATTTTAACCTGAAATGTTATTATTCCCAACCCATTTCATTGACTACTAAGCCACACCCCGGGTTGCCTTGCTGATCTTAGTTTCTATGAAATGACAATTGTGTCTTGGAGTTGCCTCGAACTCAACATTCCGATACAGTTGAAACATTTCATTAAGTACTAGAAGGTAGTAACTTGTATGTATTCTAGGAATCGTCAAGTAATGTGCTAGCTGACTCAAACATCACCGTCATCTAAAAAGACAGAAAGAAATGGCAATATCTTCCCATGGTGAAGTATATGAGTCTAGTGAAAAGATCTATTTCTACCCCCACAGCAGGAGTAGCAGTGTTGAAGTGGAGGGTTGAGGATTAGATACCACAATTCGGAAACACTCCCAATGTAGAGGATAAGATCTACACGTCCTATCCTCCTTAGACCTCATTTATGTGATTACACTAGATATGTTGTTAGTGTAATGGTGAAGTCAGGACAGGTTAGACAGACCTAACTCGAAACATATTTCCAGCACGTAGAAGCATTAAGCCAGCTGAAGCTAAACTGGAAACATTTTATCTGCTAAACCTATATCTCCAAAATGTTCTTGTTTGCCAGTGAATTATCCATGCTTATGGAAGTTTCCTAATGTGATTGACTGGACCAGAAAGGAGATAAAAAAAAAGTTGGAAATCACTCGCAGGGCGGTGTATGAAGTTTTCGAATTTTCTTGCTGGGAATAAAGTTGAATAGGTAGGGAAAGAAAAAACTAAAGAGGGAATAAAGGAAAAAGTTTATGTCTAGGTAAAAGTATTCCCATCTGATTAAAAAGTAAAAAAACAGAAGCTACAAGGCTTGCTCTAATGATGTGTGAATTGGGCATACATCATGAGTTCAAACTCTACAGTAAACAAAAACTTGATATGTAATATGGAATATTAAATAGACGGTTTCATTATTCACCAGGTCATGAGTTTGAATTCTATGATAAATAAAAATTTATATGAATTTAACTTTAGAAAGAAAAAAAAGTTTGTTAGCTAACAAAATTCTGGTTGAACAAAACTTATCCCTGACAAACTACATCATATATATGAAGCCTACTCAACAGTATCCAAGACACTTTCCTATCCACAATGCACCTAATTCTATGTTGTCCTACCATAAAATATGGTTAATATTTAGTATTCAAATCATATATTATAAAAACTAGCTACATTCATGTCATCTAAAATCTATGGTTCCTAATATCCTGTTTTTTGGTACCCACGTCTAATCAATTAGGTTGCATCTTGGTCACCGACATAGAAATATTAAACAACAACCAAAAAAAATAAGGTTAAGATGACAAATCGATTAAAATAATTATGTTTGCTAGTTAAATATATCAAGAATTAACAATATACATGATTTTGTATATCATACATATATATTATATATTTTCCCAATTAAATAATGCATTTGAAAATCACATGTAATTTTCCCAGATAACTCTACTACACTAGCCTTAATTGTAGTACATGCCTCCTCTTTTTCATAGTGGCAAGCAACTACTATAGTACTAGCTATAAAGAAGAATAAGGTATAGTCTTTTCTATATATAAAAGTCACAATAATAGGAATCTCAATGCGTGGCATAAAGTCCTCCATGTCGAAAAGGGAAAAAATAATTTTAACTTTCTCCGTCGAAAAATAAGTGTCAATTAAGAAATTCAAGACAAAAAATAGTATTTAAAAAAAAAATTATATTCTTATACTCCGTCTTCATAAACAATGTTCAATTTCTTATTAAACATGATTTTTATTAAAATGACACTTACTTTGAGACGAAAAAGAGTATCTTACTAGGTAAGTCAGTAGGAAGTTTCCCATAGCATTCCTCCTTCTGGAAGTGTTGAATTACTTTGCATATTTCTTCTATTCATATATTCAAACAAGAAAGAGTCGATACATACGTAAATGTATAAAAATAGTTGTGGTATGGGAAAAAATAGAAGTGACAACATATATACTCTATAATATTGTTGTGTAATTATAGCATTACGTGTAAGGAACATTCATGGTCAACGACAATTAATTAAATTCTTTCCTCCCTAAACAAGAAATCAAGAAATAGAAAAGATAGAAAATTAAATACAATTTTTATCCTATATAGGTAGAGACTTATCATCATTTACAATTTAAATTTTGCTAATCTACTATTCTCTCCATCTCAATCGATGTTATTTTAAGTAAATTTATTATGAAAAAAAAGTGATATTTTTAAACTTTTCACTTTATTCTACAATTACAAAAATATTAGGACTTAGCATACGTTAAGATCATTAATTTAAAAGTTTTTATTTATTTTCTAAACTTTACGTCTATTCAAACTACATTGCAACAATTAAAACCGAGTGAATACATGTTATTGTAGTAAGTTAAAGTTGCTTTACATTTTTCTATTGTCAAATTTGCCCTTGAAGTTACGATTACCTTTTTATTACGTTAGCGGTTAGTCATCATATTTGCACCACTGAAGTCAAATAATTATGTAAATTTAAGATACTTCTTTATATGACATGTGAATGTGTGGTATCAATTGTTAGAAAAAAAAAACACAAAAAGAAAAAAAAAACGAGTACGAAGGAAGGAGAGGGGAAAAAGAGGTAGGAAGTTTCTCTGGAGAAACATTTGACTAACTTAGAAAGATACGTAACAAAAGAAATCGAGAGGATGTAAAACAAAAATGTCTATAATTTTAATGTGCTTGAAGCATTAGTTTTATTTCATGTTACATATTTTTCTTTTCAACAGTTAATTTAAACAACGTCACATAAATTGAAAGTATATCGAGAGTACATGGTATATATTATGAATGGCCTAAATTGATCCACTTGTGGCAACTTCAGTAATGGTGAGTTCCGTGCATTTGTATGGCCGGTTATTAAATGCTGCTAATTCTCATGTCCACGTCTATTTCCCATTGACTTAGCTTTAATAAGCCCTACAAATAAATTCCTAACATTAATTTAATATTTGTATTAAAGCTCATTTGTATTTAAATTTGCGTTGTATAAGACCTTATTTGAAGGAAAGTGTGACTATATCTTAAGTTGTTTTTCCACGCTTTATTTATTTATTCAAAGTATAACTTACAGAAATTCTATACATTTGGGAGCTAATTACGTTCTATCCCGAAAGTTTTTTCAATTACAAAAATTTTAAAATTTTCATTGCTCTCGGATACATGACTTGGTTGTACGATACTTTGCAAAAGATACATTACTTAATGAGAAGGGTGTATCCTAGAGGAGATAGGGATGTATTCGAGGAGGATAAAGATGTGTCAGAGAGGATGGAGATGTATTCGAGAGAAGATTTTTATAATTTTTTTAAATGGTATGAAATTTTAAAGATTATAATATCTTAGATTGTGTATTTGACTATTTGTATAACTTCTTCTAATTCGAAGCCCTACTACTCCTAGTAGTACTATAATTTACACTATTTCACCAGAAATTAAATGCAAGATTTCTAGAAACTCATTTTCTAAAATCCTTTTATATTATTGAAAACAAATAGTAAGAAACAAAAATGTACCAAGTATTTCAAAAAAACTGACCAAGCTACTACATTTTGATGTTGAAATGTATGGGCCCAAGCACACATGGGTTGAGTGTTTTTTTTCTAATTAATCAACAAGATGAGAGTCAAGTCCTTGTAAACTTTATATTGGAAATGACAATTAAACAACTTGTAATACCACTCTTACCCTAAACTTGTTAATCACGTTTAGAATTTTTTGGCAAATTTAGAAAAGGATAACACATAAACAAAAAGTCAATGATAAAATTAGTGTGGACCCTTATATGGAATAAGAAATTGACTCATGAAAAAAGAAAGATGCACATAAATCTTTTAGTACCATCAAAGGTTGTTGGGAGAGTCGGATTTTTTTTAAAATTGCTTACACTTTGTTTGAATGGTTGTTACATAGTGTTTCATAATGTATTGTATTGTATTATATTGTATAATTTTAATGAATATAATGTTCGGATAGACTGTATCGTTCTTCGTTGTTACATGATGACTTACGTCATAAATTTGAATGAAAAAAATATTAAGGTAACAACGCAACCACACCAAATCGATTGTTACATAAAATGAGACATTTTGTCGTTATATAACAAAGGATTTAAATGATAATACAAACAATTAAAGCAAACATTGTATTTAAACTAACAATACAATACAACATATAACAACCATCCAAACATGATGTAACTGAAGAATTTCTTCATATAAATATAGAATTTGAGTCAAAGCTATTGCATACCGTCGAATGTAATTTATATGGTGGCCGGCTCCTCACTTGGTTATGTATGGTGGGTAATAAGTGCGTACCATGTACCCCTCGCTCCCTCCATCTTTCACAATTTCTCAAATTCAAGGTCTAAAAATGAATTCGACAAAAAAATTTACTCCCTCCGTCCCTATGTAGTTGTCCACTTTAGAAATGGCACACAGATTAAGACAATAATGATTAGCATAGTAAAATTACAATTTTACCCTTATAGTACAATTTAAAATTTCAAAATAAATTCACTCAAGATAACTAATCAATGCTGGGAAGTTCATAAATTTATTTACTTTATTTATGACAACTTTATTTAAATAAGGGTATAATAGGAAAAAAATTGTTGTCTTTTCTTGATTTGTCAAAATGGACAACTAAATAGGGACAACTAAAAGAGGAAATATGGACAACTAAATAGGGACGAAGGAAGTATTGTTTACGTATATATGATTAAAATTATTTTTTATATAGATATAATAGATATCAAATTCTCTTCAAATTTTTAATCATATAATA